CCCCCCCCCCCTTCTCCCCTCCTTCCCAAAGAAGGACACCCGCTAACCTTACCGTATCCATCACGATTCGAACTCACAATCTCTTTATTAACCGTTACACATGTGTACGCCACACACTCACATGAGATGAGTAGAAATCCCCCTCCCCCCCCTCTTCCCAAAGGAGGACAGCCCCTACTTGCGCATGTCCGATTTGAATATTTGAAGCAATTCATGTGTGGGGAGTTTGACGTTCTGCCGTCTCTCTCTCCCAAGTCGAAGACTAGGAAAACGAGCATTTTCAGTTGATGCGCACTTGCTTTTCCTTTTTTACCTTCTTTAACTTTTTTTTCCCTTTTTAAAAGTTTTTAACCTTTTTTCGTCTAAGATCCCGCACTTTCAGACTACCTTTTTTCCCTTTTTTTAACTTTTTTAATTTTTTTTTAACCTTTTTTGAAGTTTTTTCCTCGAAGATCCCGCACTTTTAGACAACCCAAATATTCAGCAGTTCGATGGAATTTATGCACTCATTCCATACAATTCTTTTTTCTTCCAAAAAAAAAGAAAATTTTGGACTTCCCAGGCCTGGCTGTTCGCGCAGCCAGAGACATACGACTGCTCCAAAGAGTCTAAAGCAGCACTGGGATGAGATTGAGGGAGAGTGTCGTCTCTTGACTTGCCGCCGTTGCTGGTGGAGAAGGAACCGTGCTGATGCTCCCCAGAATGGATATGGACTATGGAGCCAGAACCTCGATGTTCTGCCTTGTTGAACAAAAAAAAAAAAAAAAAAAAAAAAAAACAAGAGGATAGCGGGAGTGGGTGTGTGCCAGGGAGAAAAGAACAGAGTTAGAGAAACTAATAAAAAATATAAAAAATAAAATAAAATGAAACGCGCAATTGCACCATCCGCGTTTTGGCAACGATCAAGTGTAGGATCTGTTCCGACTCAAAAAAAAAAAAAAAAAAAAAAGGATCTGTTCCGACACTTCAGATCAGTTTAATATCTGATCCGCGGTCCATCGGGCCACATTTTAAGGAGGAAAAATAAAAATAAAAAGAAAGGAGGGTGGGTGGGTGGGTGGGGTCTCGTGAGAAGTAGGACACGGGGGAAAAGAACGTGTAAACACAAAAATAAAGAAACGATTGCTGAGGTGTCGGCTGGTGGGAATGCAGGAATGAACCGATCTCACAAAGACGCGCTACGGTACAACAACTCGTGACTGCTTTGGTTCCTAAGAAGGATATTAAGGGCCTAGGTAGTTGCACCACTCGCCATCCGCCATCCGCCAAGATTTTGAATGCAACTGGACAAGAATCAGCCCCGATGCATTCACAATCTTGGCGGGATGGCGAGTACTGTAACTAGGCCCAAAGTTGAGGAAACTGCCTTTTTTTGGAGTGCTCTGCAATCGCAATCTTTCACCGATTGGATTTCCAAGGACTAGTTTTGCTGCGTACATTTTGGCCAGAGAGTTACGTAAAATAGTGGGAAAAAAAATTACCGAAAAATAAATACAACTCTTCGTACCGGAAAACTCCTCCCCGCAGCTTTGGGAATCGACAACTCTTCGTTACTCTGGCAACGGCAGCAGGCAAAGGAAGACCGTGGTCCTCACAAGGAAACGCGGAAAGAAATGGACAGGCACTGAGAATGCAGATTGACTCCAACGGGAGAGACCATGGACATAAGACTGGCAAATAGCCGAATGGGACTCCAAGAACCAGCTAGTTAAGCAGCAGAAGCAGAAGCAGCAGCAGAAGCAGTAGCCGCAGTGCACCGGCAGTGCTAGCTTAAGCAGATGCGGTAGCATTGCCAGTCCTAGCAGCAGCAGCAGCAGCAGCAGCAGCAGCAGCAGCAGCAGCAGCAGCAGCAGCAGCAGCAGCAGCAGCAGCAGCAGCAGCAAGAGAGGCGTCCAAAGGAGCACGAGTGGTTGTAGTCATGACGACAGCAGTAAAAAGCAGCCACAGCCGCGGCCGCTGCAGTAGCTGCAGAAAGCTCCTGCTGCCGGAGCAGCAGCACCGGGAGGAAGAGAATGAAGAGAAGGAAGAAAAGGAAGAGAAGGAAGAAAAGGAGGAGAAGGAGGAGAAGGAGGAGGAGGAGGAGGAGGAGGAGAAGGAGGAGAAGGAGGAGAAGGAAGAAAAGGAAGGTTGCAGACAATGAGAAGATGGACCCGGTTTCCAGGGTTTGGGATTTCGAAGGCCAAGCGAACCCAGGAGTGCAAGAGGGGAAGGGGGAATACTGCAGAAAACTAAGGGTAAAAACCTGAGTCGGGGCACATTCCGCGAGCAACAGTAGTAAAGTTCTTTTTTTTTTTTTTTTTTTTTTTTTACTGCAGGCTGTTTTTTAAAATTTAATTACCTTTTTTTTTTTTTTCCTCTTTTTTTTCTGTTTGTGTCTTAAACCACTGCAGTACTTCCTAAAGACGCGCCCGTTAACGCTACGCGATTTGAGGAAACGTACGGGCCACTACAGGAGCGCCCAAATTCATCCAACTAGAAACGTTTTTACTCTATTTTTTTTTCCGCGGCCGATAGATGGGCCAAGTACTGGTGGTTTAATTGTCCAGTTTTGATTTTCGTTGAAGTTGTAGATAAGGGGACGTTGGACCCGCCCGGTTTCCAGCACAAGCCTAACCTGGGTTATGGCCCCAGCACTATCTGGGTTGAGATGTTGAGGGATTCCCGGGCCTCATTGATTGTGCATATAGTAAAACTGCAGATTATTACAAAAAAAAAAAAAAGAAAAAAAAAAAAAGGGAAGAGAGGGGAGAGGAGGGGTGAAGGAAGAGAGAAGGAAGAGGAAGGAAAGGAGGAAGAGGAGGATGAAGAAAACAGGTGGAGAAGGCAAAGCCTGAGTCTTTTTTGCGATAGACATGTAAGGAGCAAGGTGCTGAGGTAGTCACAGGATGAAATGCATTCGGAGAATTTCAGACATGCCTCAGGCGGTTGCATCGCGTGGGGAACATGAACGTTAACACAAACCTTTCTTGATATTCTCATCATATACTTCAGTGCTGCAGCTTATCGCCATGTCCAGCTCTCTCTCTCTCTCTCTCTCTCTCTCTCTCTCTCTCTCTCTCTCTCTCTCTCTCTCTCTCTCTCTCTCT